CAAAAAAAACAATATTTGACATGTTGTATGTGTTTTGACCAGTGTTTATGTGAATAAAAGCTCAAATTAAATCTGCTCATCATATAAATCGATCGTCTCTCTTCAGGAGACTTAAATGATTAGTTCACTTCCAGAATGAAATTTTCCTTTACTCACCCCCATGTAATCCTAGATGTTCATGACTTACTTTCTTCAGTTGAAAAAAAAATAAAAGGGTTAGTTCACCCAAAAATGAAAATTAGCTTGTGTTTTACTTACCCTCGAAGCATCCTAGGTGTATATGACTTTCTTCTTTCAGACGAATCCAGTCGGAGTTATATAAAAAATAGTCTTTGATCTTTCAAGCCGTTTAATGGCACTCAGCGGGTGTTGCAGTCGAACAGTCCACAAGTCATCAAATAAAGCTTGCCCATTCATAATAAAACGTGCCGCAGATGGCTCCGGGGGATGAATAAAGGCCCCCTGTAGCGAATCCATGAAAAATATCCATATTTCAAATGTAATAAACACTTTGATTATGAAAGATTTCCATGGTTGAAAGATCAAAGCCTATTTTTTATATAGCTCAGACTGGATTTGTCTGAAAGAAGAAAGTCATATACACCTTCGAGGGTAAGTAAAACACAAGCTACTTTTCATTTTTGGGTGAACTAACCCTTTAAGGTTTTTGAGGAAAACATTCCAGGATTTTTCTCCATATAGTGGACTTCAATGGGATTCACCAGGTAGAAGGTCCAAATTACAGTTTCACTTATCTAGCAAAACGATCAGTCATTTTCACAACAAAAAAAAAAGTAAAAAATTATATATTTTTTAACCACAAATGCTCGTCTTGCACTAACTCTGTGATGCGCATGTGCGACTTCACGCATTACATAATCATGTTGGAAAAGTCAGGCGGAAGTAGTACCGAACATCTGATTTTCTCCTCCAACTTCAAAATCGTCCAACATCATTGTTTTCATTTTTTTTACCTTTTTTACCTAATTCCTCGGCTGGGATCATGTAGAGCCCTTTGAAGCTGCACTGAAACTGCAATTTGGACCTTCAACCCGTTGGTCCCTGTTGAAGTCGACCATATGGAGAAAAATCCTGGAATGTTTTCCTCAAATACATTCCAGGAAGAAAGATACGAACATCTTGGATGACATGGGGGTGAGTAAATTATCAAGACATTTTTATTCTGGAAGTGAACTAATCCTTTAAATCACTTGATTCATATGGATTACTTTTACGATGAACCTTTTTAAGCTTGAAAATTTGGTTGTGTGGACTTTCAATGGGTGGACAAAAATTATGGGAAAATATAAAAAATATCTTCATTTGCATTCCAAACATGAATGAAAGTCTTTAAATGGTTTTGGAACAACATGAGAGTGAACAAATGATGACAGAATTTAAAAAAAAATTGTGTGAACTAACATAACTCTTTAATGATAAGAATCATTATTGTGGTAGCAAAGTTTTCATTAAGAGTGCAAGATCAAGGTTCAGATCTTTGCCTTTTTTTTTTTAAATACTTTTTTAATAGATAAAATTTTACAGCCATTGATCACTATGACACTTGACTACAGCATAACGCAGGACGAGGATCATGTGAGCTCCAATAATTTTCCTAATACTGGAAGTTGTGTTAAACATTTTACAAATTTGTTGCACCACTGGACATGCCCACAAAACTCATGATCACCACTATTTGTGTTTCTGGATATCTCATTGTTAAAAATGAATTTCAGTCCTTTTTTTTCAACAATTTTTGTTGCTGTAAAATTAAGGCTATTTCTTAATGTTAACTGATATCAATCCATTCCTTGCAAATGTTTTAGAGGACTCTGATATGCATATCTGATTTAATTCACTCCGATTAATTCAATAAATAATGAAACTACAATGGACTACAAACAGTAATTTACATTGCCTTTTTACAAGTACAATATTTCAAGTATGTATTTCAATACAGACCCATCTGAAGCCAAAAAGAAAATAGGAACAGGAAAAATGAATATAAAGAGAAAAGGCAGTACCTTGATATGTTTGACTCCACAGCTCACTAGCTTACTTTGCTGATACAGGTCCCATGATATGTCGAATATCTTTATGAAACAAAAAAAGAAAAGTACAGTATAATGTATTATGTATGTAGGTATTTCAGAACTCAGTGAAGTATATGCTGCCTTCAAGCCTGTTTAAATATTGTAATTTCAATATCATGGTTGGAATTAAAAAGACATTTTGGACAATTTTTCTCTTTTTCATTTCCCAAGGACAGGAAGCTTGTTTAGAGCTAGTGCACTAAAATGCAGTGCAAATGAGGAATAATAGATTCTATACACACTACTGAAGTTTGAAGTCAGTACGTTTTTTTAAGAAATTAATATTTTTATTCAGAAAGGAT